CAGGACTTGCAGAAATGTTTTAAACTCCCGAATAATACTCTCAATCATTGTCTCTGCCGGGAGACTGGACTTGGTGGAAGGATTAGTGCGTTATCAGAAGAAATCATCATTACAAAACAGACTCACAGAGAAAACACCAAAGAGAGACTTTAAAGATTCCCACACTTTCTGGGAATTTCAGACACAGAGGAAAGAGAGAATAGGGTGAGCCATTTTAAGAGACACCTGCTGTGTGGGGTGGGGCAGGCAGGTAATCCCAACACTCTGGAGGCTGAGGCAGGAGGATCGCTGGAAGTTGACGGTGAGCCTGGGCTACATAGTGAGTTCAAGGCCAGCCCCAACTACATAGCCAGACTCTGTCTCAAAAAACAAAAAACAAACCAAGGAAAGAGCTTGCAGATTTGACAAGGCCCGACTGCGGCCTGAGCGGAGTCGCGTCCGCTGCCTCGGCCCGCCCCTGCCGCGAGCTCCCGAGGACACAGAGCCCTGCCCTCCCGGGCCGGCTGGGGGGTGGGGCGCGATCCTATCCTTGTCCCCTTGTCCCCGCCTCCAGCTCTGGCCCCAGAAGTCTCTCCCCGCCCCCCTCCGCCGCCCCGCCTCCTGGTTATCTGGTTTAAAATAGACGGGGGGGGGACGGGGGGGACGGGGGGGGGCGGGGGGGCGGGGCGGCGCGCTGCTCGGCTGCTGCCAGCCACCAGTCGGGCTGCAGCTTTCCCCTCCCAGCCTTGCCCTGCTGTTTACCAGGCTGAAGCTCAAACCCTGGGCCTGTGGATGCATGACTAGCGCGCTGCTTGGAGCTGCAGCCCCAGGCCAGCTCGCCTGGGGCGGAAAACATTTCCAATTCAGAAAAACAGCCTGGTGTGGTGGCGCTGGCCTGTAATCCTAGCACTCAGGAGGCTGAGGCAGGAGGATCGCAAATTTAAGACCAGACCGGACAATTTAGTAAGACCTTGTCTATAAATAAATAGGACTAGAGATGTAGCTCAGTGGCAGAGCACTTGCCTAGCAATGTACAAGGCCCTGGGTTCAACCTCCAGTACCCGAAAAACAAAAAAGAGGAACCAGGTGCAGTGTTCTTTCTGCCCACACCCCTAGTGCGGCGCCTCCTCTCCTCCTGCCTCGAATCGAGCTCCTGTCGCCCTCCTGTTCCCACAGCTGGCGTCTGGGTTCCCTGACCCCCAAGTTCGCAGGGAGTTGGCAGGGCCAGGTGGAGGCCAGGTGGGGAAGGTTTCATGCCATAGACACGAGGGCAGACGGGACAGCTCGTGCGGGAGCTGCGGCCACCTGAACCGAACCCAGCCTTGCTCCCCAAAGGCCTCCGAAGCCACCAACTTTCCCATTTTAAGATGCGCAAGTAGCTTTACCGACCTGGAGTGGGGTCTGCAGAAAACGTGGAGGGGGCGTTTCCCTGCCTCACGAGTGCCCTGTGTCCTCCTGCCCGTCTCAGCAGCAGTTCTAATCCTGCCATGGTTACTGAAAACACTCTGCCAGATGTGGTGGCTCAGGCAGGTGAGACACACTTATGCCCAGCTTGGGCAATTTAGCAAGACCCTGTCTCAAAATTTGAAAAGTAAATAAAGAACTGGGGTTGTCACTCAGTGCAAAGGCCCTGGGTTCAATCTCCAGTACTGGGAAGAAAAAAAAATTTCACACAGTGTGGTTTTATTACCACCTGAAATTCTCCTGGTAGGAAAACGTGTTTCCTCCGTTTTTGGTTTTTTGTTGAACTCGGGTCCTTGCGCTTGGACAGCAGGTGGCAAAACCACTGAGCTAAATCCCCGGCCCTTTCCTTGGTTATCATAGTGTTCTCTTCAGTGGAATGTAAACTTTGAGGACAAAGGCCTAACTCTGTTTTGTGCACTGCTGTATTCTTGGTATCTAGAACCATGCCTAGTTTATAGTAGGTGCTCCATAAAAATTTATGAAAAGAGGAACAAAGGAAAGCACAGGTGGGGGTTTGGAAAGAGGCAGATGTAAAGGAAGACATGGGGCTCCTATCATAGGAGCCCTTAGACAAATATATCCCTGATTAGTGAAAAGGGCTGTACCACTTTGTGTGTTCCTGAGTAATGAATGCATGTATTTGCTTGAACCTAGGGCATTGCACACGCTAGGCAAGAACTCTGCCACTGAGCTACACCCACAGCCCTTTTTTAAACTTTTTTTGGTACCAGGAATCACACTCAGGACCTTGCGCTTTCGAGGCAGGCTCAGTGCCACTGAGCTAAATCCCCAGCCCTAAAACACTTATTTTTAGTCAAGGTCTCTCTTGCAAATTTGCCTAAGCAGGACTTAAACTTGTGATCCTCCTGCCTCAGCCTCCCAAAGTGCTGGGATTCCAGGGGTGTGGACCACACCTAGCTCTGATTTTTTACAGAGGTGCTTCCAGGTACTGCACAGGAAGTATGCAACAGAGCCACTGTAGGGGGAGGAGGAAGCAGGCTTGCGATGGATCAGATGAGACAGCTGCCCTTGGAGGAGGAGGAGGAGAAGAGCAGAGCGCCCTGAGGTGGGCTCTGGAACACCCAAGTTAGGAGCAGGGGTTCAGGGGGCGGTGGCAGAAGTGTGAGGTGATGTAAGAGGATCAGAGGGTGTTGGTGGGTACACTCAGTCCTCACACGTTTCTGCCTGAGAAGAGACACGCAGCATTTCACAGCCAGTAGGAGCCAGATTTAGCGCCCGAGTTAACACATTCTGCCAAGAAACTGTGTTCACTTGAAAAGAAACTGCATGGAATTAAAAGAAGAAGACTATTTTCAGTTCTAAGAGGAAGCAGAGACTTAGACAATGTGTCCAATGAGTTTCAAGCATTTGGCATCCTCTGTGGGCCTGTCCTCCTTAGGGCCCGATCTCTGAGAATCCAACCTTTCTTCTTTAAAACATGACGGTTGCTTCAAGGGGGATCAGCGGGCATCAGGGAGAGGTCCCGGGGGGAAACCAAAGACACTGGTAACCATGGTTAGATTTTTGTTTTCTCTGCAATACTAGAGACTGAACTCTGTCTTCACACTGAGCTACATTCCCAGCCCTTTTTAAAATTTTAAAACGAAGCCTCACTAAGTTGCTAAATTGCCCAGGCTGGATTCGAACTTGTGACCCTCCTGCCTCAGCCTCCCAAATGCTGGGATTACAGGCATGCACCGCCATGCCCAGCAGGTTTTTATTTTTGTGTTTGTTTTGGGGAAACAGGGTCTAGCTACGCTCCCCGGGCTGGTCTCCTGGGTAAAAGTCATTCTCCTGCCTGAGCCTCTCAAGTAGTGTTTCTTATTTTACCTCAGGGCCTTGAGAGTGCTAGTCACATACTGAGCTCCACCCAGCCTGTTTTATAACTTTTGAAAATTAAAAAGTAGCTGAGTATGGTGGTGCACACCTGTAATCTCAGGGATTGGGAGGCTGAGGCAGGAGGATCACAGCGAGTTGAAGACCAGCCTGGGCAACATAGTGAGTTAAACCAAGTCTGAACTACACAGCAAGACTGTCTTCAGAGAGAGAGAGAGAGAGAGAGGCAGAGAGAGAAAGGTGAGGGGAGCTTAGGTCCCTGTTCCTCAAGTGTGGACTCCATGGGATGACTTTCTTCTGAGGCCAAAGGGGAATAAATAAGCAACTGTGCAGTGGTGAAAGCTGAGCAACCGGACCGCAGCAGGAGGCCAGGGTCAGGCTGGTTCAGGAAGTCCCCGTGGCACCGCGGGACCCGACCCCTGCGTCCTGCCCATGATGCGCATCCTGGAGAGTCCCTGACCTGCCCCCCAGCCTGGGCAACTCTGGGCCCACAGGAGCCTCTGGGACAGGGATGGAAGGCAATGTGGGCTCCTGCGCAGATGCTGGACTCGAAAGAAAGAAACCGAGGAAACCCAAACCCAGGGTGGCCTGAGTTGACAATGAGGTAGCCATATTGCTTTGCAATGGTGACAAACATATACACTTTTTTTTTCAAGATAAATTCCAAAGGTTTATTGCACCAAATGCCACAGAAAATGGATCAAAATAATACATGAACAAGTTTTAAGAAAAGTTTCCCATACATTGACATTGGTATCTATTCAGCTGGTCAAAAAATAGAAAGTCCCTATCAATTTCTCTTAATGAAGCTTTAATAGTAACAAATCCCAGAATTTTGTGTTTTTAGCCACCGCTGAAAATTAAGCATACCGTAATCTCACTTCCCAAATAGATGGCTCACATGTATACACTGTTTTAAATGTATTCACAGGGCCGGGGATTTAGCTCAGTGGTGCTGCCACCTGTCCTGCAAGCGTAAGAACCCGAGTTTGATCCCCAGTACCAAAAAATAAATAAATAAATGTATACACTATGTAAACAGCAAGCTAACCAGGGCAAGAGGTGACAGAACTCTCTAGAGCCGTGGTTCTGCTTTTAGGGAACAACCTGCACTATGTTTGCAGATAGGCCTGAAGCTGTAGACAGTATGTTTTTTGGTTTTTTTTTGGTACCAGGGATTGAACTCAGGTCCTTGCACTTGGAAGGCAAGTGCCAGAACCACTGAGCTAAATCCCCAGTCCAAGACAGTGTGTTCTTCACAGCACACTGTATGGAGAAGGAGAAACCTGAGTGTCCTGTAGGGACACTGGAATACTAAGCAGCAGTGAAAAGTAAAGCCGTATGGCTAAAAGTACTGAAATGACAACTGCAGTGCAGTTAAAGCCCCACTTCTAACTGGGCACCAAGGGAGGCTGAGACAGTTGAATTGTAAATTCAAGCCCAGCCCAGGCAACTTAGCAAAACCCTGTCTCAGAATAAGTAAGATGGACTGGGGATGTAGTGCAGTGCAAAGGTTCTGGGTTTAATCCCCAGCACTGGAGGGTAGAGGGTAGCCCACTTCTGCAAAATGAAAATTACATATGTACAGTACATGCTTATCTCTGTTTACAGAAATTCTAGAATGAGAAACACAAAAGCTCTTCACTGTGGCTGCCTTTGGGATTGGGGATCAAGAGAACTTGTTAATTTTTTAGGTTACATCTGTACTGTTGAGACAGGGCTTTTTTTTTTTTTTTTTTTGCAGCACTAGGGACCCAACCCAGGGCTCCAACATGCTAGGCAAGTGCCCTGCCACCGAGCTACGTCCCCAGGACAGCTTTCAGAGTGAGCAAATATTGCTTTAAGCACCTGAGTGTTAATCTGTGTGTTTTGTCACAAGATATCTCAGATTTGCGAAAAGGGATAGGAAATAGCCTATCACCCAGTTAAGAAATGAAAGATGCAAATTACTTTTACAACTAAAAAAAACCCTATAAAATTTCTTTTTTAAAAAATATCACCTTGAGAGAGTTTCAGTTTTTGGTTTCTCCCTAGAGAGCCTGCAAACCCCATGCCTGGAAGTCATGTCTATAAACCACTTCAAGGATTGTAACCACTGCCTGTGGGCTGTTTTCAGTGTTGCCAAGATGGGAAGTGATTTTTTAGAGCTGAATTTATTTCTTGGTCCACAAACTCAACATTCTTTCTTGTTTGTTTGTTCCTTTGTATTTTGAGATAGGATCTCGCTATGCAGTTCAGGCTGATCTTGGTTTTGTTTTTTTTTAATTATTTTTTTTGGTACCAGGAATCAAACTCACGACCTTGCCAGGCAGGCACAGTGCCACTGAGCTAAATCCCTGGGCCTTCAGGCTGATCTTAAACTTACTAAGTTGCCCAAACTGGGCTCGAACTTGCAGTCCTCCTGCCTCAGCCTTCCCTCCCGAGTGCTGAGATTACAAGCATGCACCACCACACACGGGGATGATGGTGATAGTTATACAACCATCCCAATGTCCTGAGGGCCACTGAACTGTGCTTAATACCAGTTAAAAATAATGGTAAGGGCCGGGGATTTAGCTCAATGGTTCTGCCACACAAGGTCCTGAGTCCGATCCCGGTACCAAAAACAACAACAAAAAAACCCCAGGCTCTAAACATGAACCTGATTGTTCTTAAAATAATGGTAAATAAGTTTTAAGTATGCTTTATCATAATGATTATTAGTACAACGATTTTAGAAAGCAATTTAGCAAGGTCAAATAAAGCTAGAAAGGTAAACACCCTGTGGTCTCATTAACAGAAAAAGGAATTATCACACATATCAATGGAATACAAACATGACAACTGTGTGCTGTTGCACGTGTACATGTATCTTTATACATGTACACATATAGTTATAAAAATGAAGTCAGGAATGGTGGTGCCTGGCTGGAGTTCAAGGAGTCTGGGAGGCTGAGGCAGGAAAATCCCGAGTTTGAGCCCAGCCTAGGCAACTTAGTGACTTAGCAAGAAACTGTCTCAAAATGAAAAATAAAAGAGGGCTGGGGAGGTGGCTCAGAGTGAAGGCCCTGGGTTCAGTCCCCAGTGCTGCAAAACAAAGAAATAAACAACCATACAACCACATGGGTATGTTTTAAACCATATAAATCAGCAAGCCTATATCCCAGAAATGATGCCGGACATGGTGCCATGCCTGTAATCCCAGCACTCGGGAGGCTGAGACAGGAGGATTGCTTGAAGTTTTAGGCCAGCCTGGGCTACACAGTGAGACCCTGTCTCAAAAAAACAAAAAAATAGGGGCTGGGGATTTAGCTCAGTGGTTTTGCCACCTGCCTCAAAAGTGCAAGGTCCCAAGTTTGATCTCTGGTACAAAAAAATAAATAAAACAAAACCCAACGCTGATGAAAAAAGCAAATGGCAGAATGTATATGTATTCTTATTATAAACATGATAGATATATTTGTACAAGGTAATGAAACAGGACCTTAGCTACCTCCAGGGAGGGAGAAAGGAAATGGGATGGAGGAGTATGAGCTTCATCTTCCCCCCTGATGTTTATTCCTTAACCTGGTGAGGATGCGAGTATTACAGTCTCTCTTTTGTATGCCTGAAATAGTTCATTCAACCAAACTGGCATGAGAAAAAAAAAATAAGTAAATAAATGAGGGAAGGAAAAAAATCCCCAAACCACAAATGTTAAATTCAAATCAAATAACCCACTTCCTGTACATCGTCTTCCCAATTTTTTTTCTTCCGGTGAGTAGTGTGTAGGTCATCTGGGGCATGTAGGTGATGGTACAAGACAGCCACCATGGTGGTGACGTCAGGCTGGGCCATCACAGGGCGCGGCTGCTCACCTGAGGCCCTGGGGAGTGACTGATCCCTCCAGCGCCTCCACCCAGGATCGGAGGGCAGGCTGAGGGCATCTCTAACCACATCAACACACGTTCTCCCAGTTCCTCCACCTGGGAATGCTGAGGACTAATTCTACCAATGTCCACCGGAGAGAAAGAATCCTAATCCCGGGGCCGAGATGATCTGAAGGTTCAATTATGTGAAGGCTATTATCTGTTCTCAAATTGTTCTTTCCAAACAATTCCTGATACTGTGTAACAGGAGATTGCCTGCCCAGGGAGAAACAATGTCCCCATTGAGAGTGAGGTCTCCTGGCTTGGCTCATACATGCACTGCCCTCTCCATAGCAGATATCCTCTTTAGCCCACAAATATCACAGGAGAGGTGGGAGTGGGGAAACCTAATGTGGCTCTCCTGCACCAGCCCTCCCACGCACTTCATTGACAAGCCTGACGCCAGCCCAGGGAGGTCCATATCGATTTTCTTTTCTTTTCTTTTTTTTTGGTACGGGGGATTGAACTCTGGTCCTTGCGCTTGCGCAGCAGGCAGCAAAACCACTGAGCTAAATCCCCGGCGCCAAAGTCATCTTTCTTGACCAAATACAACAAATTAAAAGGTAGAAGAGCTGGGTGTGGTGGCACACGCTTGTAATCCCAGTACTGAGATGGCTGAGGCAGGAGGATCACCCTGAGTTCGAGGGCAGCTTGGGGCTCACTATGTGAGTTCAAGGCCAGGCTGGACTACAGAGGGAGACCTTGTCTCCAAAGGAAAAAAAAATACATACATACATACATACATAAAATAGTAAAAGGAAGAAGAAAAAAGGAAGAAAACTATGAGTGCCCTTTGGAACTAAAGGAAACTTTTTGCTTACAGGTATTATGAAAGGCTTCCTCTAACTTTCCTCCTTTTCTACAACTGTATATCCTCAGTCCAAGGAGCTGGACGGACAGAGGGTCAGCAGAGACCAGCTGCATATAGGCAGACAGACCTCATGTCCTGCGGATGGAGTCGGGAAACATGGTCTCCACACACAAAGCCCATCAGTCAGTCAATAAGTGTTCACTGAATGCCTCAACTGTGTTCAGGGCTGAGTTAGGCAACATCAGTGTGGCAGATGCCAGGCGGGGAGCCAGAAAACCTGCCAATAACTTGATTTTGGGGGAAAAAAATACTTCCTCCTCCCAGGGGGTCAGTTTCCCTGTATGTAAAAAGAGGAGGTTGCAGTGATTAGCTTCAGCCTTTGTTTTCTTCCAATTAGAACCGGGGCAGTTCCAAAGCAGGATAATGAGTTCTCAGGCTCCCGGATGTCCAGAGGCTTCCAGATAGCCACGGAGGCTGAGGGGTTTGCACCTTGAGCCCAGCAGGGCCCACCGGGATGTCTGGGCGCCTTTCCTGAGGTGCTGCTGAACGGGGGCCACTCAACTGAGTCCCATCTTACAGCGCTGCGGCCATACTGGCTTATCCTTTCTCAATTGCCTAAGGCTAGTCCTGTCTCAGAGCCTTTGCACGTGCTAGACTTGTTGCCTTGAGATTCCTCCAGGAACGGCGGCTCCTCCCTTTTCCTTCTTCAACTCGTCTTGGAGGCCTCCTTCTCTGAGAGGGCCTCTCTTACTGTGCCCTCTCCAAAGAAGGTCTTCTTTTTATTCTCTTAGTTCAGCATCCATTTCTTTGAGCTCTCCCAATGTGTAACCAATGTTCCCCGTTTCTTCTTTCCCCGTATTTGTTCTTTCCAATGTTCCCCGTTTTCTTCTTTCCTCATATTTGTTCGAGTCCCCTGCTCATCTGTTGGCTTCACGCAGGCTGTGGTCCTTTCTGTTTTATACGGAACTACTAACCCAAAGCCTAGGACAAATCGATTTCAACACGTATATGTTAAACGAATGACTTGGTGGGAACCAAACGCCACCTAGAATTGTTTCCCCATTAAATTACCTGGTTGGTTGACTTCTTCCCATTCCCGTTTTTATTGATTCTTTTCCTTGAAAAAAAAAAAGGCCCTTATGACATCGGGACACACGCTCCCGTGCCGCCGTGACGTCACAGGCGCGTTATGCGTCACGAGCGGGACGCCTGGCCCCTTCCCCATCCCTCAGAGGCCCCCAAGCGCCCAGACGCAGCGCCGCGCACGCGTCCCGCCAGCCCCTGCCTCCGGCGACGTCACGTCCGTCCGCACCGCCGCGCGCGATGACGTCACGCCCCAAGGTTGGCGTCACGTGCCCCCCCGCGGGACGCGGGGTCGAGGGCGGCGCTTCCGGTCGGCGGAGCCAGACGGCCCGAGCGGCGGTGGCGGCCGTGGCGGCGGTGGCTACCGAGACGTGGGAATGGCAGGCGCCACGGGCGAAGCCCGGTTCGCTGGGCTGTCGCTGGTGCAGCTCAACGAGCTGCTGGAGGACGAGGGCCAGCTGACGGACATGGTGCAGAAGATGGAGGAGGTGAGCGCGGGGCGGCGCCTGTGGGGCCCGGCGGGGTGCGTGCGTCGAGCGGTAGCTCGGGGCGGAGGCGACTGCAGCGCTCCAGTTGTGTCCAGGGGACCCGGGGGACAGTGGGGGCGCTCGGGGCGGGGACTCAGACGACAGTGGGGACTCCAGTTGGGCTTCGGGGAGCTCAGGCGGGAGAGGGGTACTGAGAGTTGTTTGGGAACCGGTGGGGGCCCTTGAGGCGAGGCTTGGGACACTCGGACCCAAGGTGGGTGTAAAGCGGGAGACTAGAGCCTGGAGTGGGGATGCGGAGACACGCGGAGCCAGTTGGGGGACTGAGATTGGGTCGGGACGCGGTGAGACTGGCCGGGCCCGAGTGGAGGAGAGGACTCGGGGTGGCTGAGGGGGCCAGGTCCGGGCAGGGGTTCGGGAGTCTGGGGGTCTGAAAGTAGGTTTGGTGGGGCTCGGTGCGAATCTGGGAGAGGCTCGGGAGGCCCCGGGTCTGTCGCCAAGTCCAGGAAGGGCTGTGGCGGGGGTGGGCGGAGGTCACGGGCGCAGGCGGGATGAACTGGGAAGGGTCTGAGTGTGTGGGGGTCCCGAGCGTCCTGGAGGAGGCCGCAACAACTTCCCCTGTGGCTTCTTTGCCTCAGTCCCATGGGTGGTGGCGGGATCCTTTTTTCCATAAGGTTTGCCCCTGTCCGTCCACCCCCCCCCCCCAAGAAAAAGGGAATGTGAGAATTCCCGTGACTGGCTTTGCCCCACATTGTCCCACCCCTCTGCACTTCAGAAGCTGATGGGGGGGGGATAAAATGGGAGTTGGGCGCCCCCTCCTCACCCCACCTCTCATTTGACAGTCAGGGGTCAGCCCAGCCCTGGGAAGGCCTGGTTCTCTTCCTCTGTGCCTCGCCCGTGGTTTGCTCTTGGGGTGACTGACTTCTCCCCGGCAGACTTGCAATGCGGACTTCCTTCTTTTTCTTTCTCACGGGCCTTTGGGACTCTGAAAGTCCCGTCCTCTGGGTGTCCAGCTGGCAGGTGGACCCAGACTGCTACAGCTGTTGGCAGCCCACCGACCACTCCTTTGTCTTTAAGTCTGAGCCTTCCCACGCCTAAGGCGAGCTGCTCGCCCCAAGCCCATGTGGGGGCTTTTGGCTTTCTTTCCCTAGAGGGATTGTTCAGCTCTGAGCCAGCCCCCTTAAAAGGGAGCTTGTGTGGAGGTTGTACATTTAAAATCCCTGGAAAACCCTCAACAGATCATTGTCTGGAGCTACAGAGAGGCCACTGTAGTAAGATAGTATCAGTCTTTCCATTAATACACCCCTTGTATTCACAGGCTTTGTAACTTGGCACATAGCAGGTTGCTCCTAGATGCAATTGACGCTATTTATGTTCTCCATGTGGCACTTTCCATTTTAGAGAATAATAAGTGACAAAATCCATCTTTCTTGACTGAATGAGAGTTTCATGTCTCCAAAGAAAGGAAATCTTTGCTAGTTTCTCTGCTTTTCCGTTGCTGGGAGACCTTTTGTTGGTTGTCAGAGGGGCATCTTTCTAGTTTAATGATAAAATGACAGGTGTATTTTTCTCATGTGCAACCGCCAACAAGTTACTTTGTTACAGGTGACTTGTGTTTCAGTAAGAACAGAGTATGATAGCTTTATTTGTGGCATATTAAAAAAATAAACTTTTAGTGGAGAGGAGACTGGGGAATGAGTCAGTTTCACTCAGGTGACCCCACGGCTGTTAGGGACAGCCGCACTCATTTCCTTTATGTGGGGACATGGAGATTATTATTTATAGAGAAAGACAAATTAATCTAGCAGGATTTTTTTCTTTTTCTTTTCTTTCTTTTCTTTTTTTTTTGGTACCAGGGATCAAACTTGGGTCCTTGCACATACAGGGCAGGCGCCGGAACCATTGAGCTAAATCCCGGGCCCCTCTTTTTCTTTTTTTAAGTAAAAGTGACCTTCATACTCAAGTACCTTACAGAAATATTTAGGCCTGACTCCACTTGGTTAGAACCTGTATTTAAATTACTCAAGAGTGGTTTGTTCTTTTGGGTGTAGTACTTTTAAAACCAGGAAACTAAAAATAAAATAAAACCAGGAAACTGAACTTGCCAAAATAGCTAAGGCAGCTCACCTGGGCAGGGTCACAATCGGCAAATCCTGCTGCCCTGGTTGTGTGTGATGTGTTTCTAAAGGGATGGGTAAAAGGAAAACAGCCAAAGTTTTGGCCATTGTGGTTTCACTCACATGGGAATGCCATGTGTAGGTTTGGTTTGGAGGTGGTTTTGAGACACAGAAGAAAATATTTTGTGAACTGTTGACTATTGACCAAGTGAGACATTTATGATAGGGTGTTGGAGGGCATTCGGACTCTGGAACCCTACCCTGTGGACAGTGCTTGCCACCTCCCAGCCTGGGCTTGTGGGCAGTCACTTTGTTTTCTGAGCACCAGGGTAGGGAGGATAACAGGACAATGACATCTGTGGGTTTTTTTTTCTTTTTCTTTTTTTTGGTACTGGGGATTGAACTCAGGACCTTGCGCTTGCAAGGCAGGCGCTGGAACCACTGAGCTAAATCCCCGGCCCAGACATCTGTTTCATACAGTTGTTAGAAAGATCAGGTGAGATCGTGGTTGTTAAACACTGACACAGCTGCAGTTAGTGCTCAATTGAGAGTAATTGCAGCTGGTCGTGGTGTCTCATTGATGGAATCCCTCCAGCGTTCTAGGAGACTAGGGCAGGAATACTGTAAGTTAGAGCCTAGCCCAGGGAGTTTAATGAATTAGCAAGACCCTGTCTTACAATTAAAAAATAAAAATGGAGGGCCGGGGATTTAGCTCAGTGGTTCTCCCGCCTGCCTCGCAAGCACAAGGTCCTGAGTTCAATCTCCGGTACCAAAAAATAAAAAATAAAAATGGGCCTGGGATGTAGTGCAATGTGGAAGGCCCTGGGTTCATTCCCCAGTATCACAAAAAAAGTTATTAATAATACTTAAGTTCTGTCTTTGAAAGATTACTGTCAGCCACTAATACCACATCTTGAAAAGTTAATAAGGTCTCATCTCACAAATTTGAGGTGAATTTTGATTTGCTGTTTAGTGGAGGAAACACTTTACTGTTCTATGGTGAAAATGGCTGTGTATGTCAGTAGGTCTGGGAAGAGGTGGTGAGTGGAACAGGCTTTCACAGTAGAAGATCAACCTTAACTGAAGGCTTTTTTTTTTTTTAATTGGCAGAAGGAAGTGTTCTAAATTGTATAGTAAGGCTTCTTCAAGCCTGAGGGGATATTTTGTGGTGGTTGGAAAGTGTGGCTGGGTTTTGAAGTCTTTCACTGTCAAGTTGAGGCGTAGCTTTGCATTATGCCTCTCTTACATTGCTGTAATTGTGGTGTGTGAGTTGGAGCAAAGCTCAGGACACTCTCATGTTGGAACTACCCTATAGACATTTTGTGCCAGTGTGATCTTTTCTTTCTTCTTGTTTGCTACATAGTTCCCTAAGTAGAGTAGTACATCCTGAATGGTCTTTACGGTCTGTGTCCTTTTGCAGTGGGCTGAAATTTCTTTTTTTGCGGGGGGGGGGGGGGGGTCGGGCTGAAATTTCTTATGCACACATTTACTTTTTTTTTTGGGCTGGGTCTCCCTCTGGTGCCCAGTCTGCCCTTGACCTTCAGTCCTCCTGCCTCAGTCTCCCTAGGAGTTGGAATAACAGACACAGGCCCCTGCATCTGACTCATTTTTGTTTTTATTTAAAGTTCTTTTTACATGATGGGGGAATGTGTCTTTATCTGTCCACATTAACCTGTTGAACTGGCAGAGCACTCCCTTAAAAGGAACTGTTGCTTGGGGGATTAGGCAACTAACCCAGACCTCTTGGGTCACTTCTCCCCTTGTGCTTTCAGAGGAAATGCTGCTTGGCTGATGCTAACGGTGAGGCTTCACCGAGGATTCCAATTCTGGACTTCTGTTTGTGTGGCAAGTGAGAATGCCTGCATGCACAGATGCTGAGGGTGTGAAAGGCAGATTGTTTTGTGGAAAGTAAAGAGCTCTGGTCTGGAAAAAGCCGCCTTCCTTAAGGTCTTTTGGCTTGATTCCTGTGTGAGGCCTAGGACTACTGCACCGATCATAATGGCTCATTGAGATGTTGACCCCAGCTTTACATCCGGGGACTCCTTCGGGACACGCAGGCTGAATGGATGCTGGTGGGACTTTGGTGTTGAGCAGCCGAGATTTGAAGTGTGTACTGCTGGAGTTTGTTTCTCTCCATGCGGTGCAGTCATTACTGTCCGTGGAAAGGCTTCCACTGCTGTCGTTCACTTTTTTCTTCTATGGATAATTTTGTTGCTTGAGTAAAACATTGCTTTGCCCAGGAATATTTTCTGAAATTTGCTTTATCTCATTTTATTTTAAAGGAGCATCATGGTTTTGTGGGAAGAATGTAGTTAAGAGTTGTGTGGCCACTTTTAAGTTGTCTAAACTCTGCTTCAGGTCCATCTGTGAAACGAGGATGGTGATAATGCCTGCCTGTTAGGGTCCCTGTGTGGTCAGACTCCCTTCCATTAGTAAGAGATTTTTGGGACTGTTAGACTGCTTTGGATGAAATTTGATCTACTTAATTTTATTTAACTGCTCTTCGTTTGCGTTCACTTGGAAGTGTAGTGTGAGCAGTATAGCACAGGTACTAAAACCAGAACTGGCTTTTCTCGTTTTGGTACCAGGGATTGAACTCAGGTCCTTGTGCCAAGCCTTGAAACCACTGAGCTATATCCCTAGCCCGTTTTTGTTTTTGTTTTTTTTTGAGACAGGGTGTTGCTATGCAGTTCAGGCTGGCCTTGGAGTCACTATGTAGCCTGAGCTGAACTCCAAATTGCAGTGAACCTCCTGCCTCAGCCTCCCGAGTGCTGGGATTATAGTCACAGGCCACTATGCCTGGCTTCAGAACTGACTTTTTTTTTTTTTTTTTTTGGTACTGGGATGAAACTTGGGTCCTTGCGCTTGCAAGGCAGGTGGCGAAACCACTGAGCTAAATCCCTGGCCCTAGAACTGGCTTTTGATACCAGCAGTGGAACCTTTGCCAAGTGTTTAGTCTTTCCAATTGCAGTTTCCTTGTTGGAAATAAAGGGGATAATGATAATAACCTACTTCTCAGAGTTGTTGGGTAGATTAAATAAGGATGTAAGGTGCTTAACATGGTACTTAGCACAAAATGAGCACATTGTCAGTAATTATTATTGGTTATTATTGCTAAAACAAAAAGGTATCGTGTTCTTGCTGTTTTCGTGGAAGATTCCATTTCAGTTCTCCAACTCTTGAGCACTTGCTGGGAGTGAGGTATTGTTCAGGAAGCACAGGGCATGATCCCTGGCATGGAATTTGGCATAACCAGGAACACACACATCTGCTGTGTGGGAGAGTAAGAAGTACAGAGTTTCAGCTTGGCAAGATGCACAGAATCTGTAGGTTGGTGGTGATGGTGGCAAAATGGTGCAAATGAATTTGGTGCCATGGAACTCTACTCTTGAAATGGTAAATTTTCTGTTATGTATGTTCTACAGTTTTTAAAAAAGAGAATGAAAAAAGTCAGATGTTAATAATGTTGAAAGTCAGATCAAAAGATTCTTTCTGGCTAGATTTAATGTAAGAAAATGGACTGTGGTAGGTGTGTAAGCATTGAGAAGATAAATGACTGCAGCACTAACGCGTGCAGGAGGCGTGGGGAATGGCATAAGGAGTGCCAGCATGCCTGCCCCCAGCCTAGGCGTGAGCGCTGCCAGGCCAGCGAGCGCCCATCCTGCGCACACCTCTCTGGGCCCCGGCTGCTGTCTTGGATTCGGTGTTTCTTTCCCTGAACTGATGGACAAAATGGGGGATCAGGAAGAAGTGACAGAAACCAGAGGCATGGGCAGAGGAGCTGGGGACAGGCTGCCTGACTAATGAGTCCCTGGCTGGCCTGGCCAGGTGGGATTTGCTGATGTGTCAGGAAGTGGCAAGAAACGAGAGTGGCCAGGGTAGAGTGCCACATATGAGCTCCGTGGCAGTTACTTTGGTGGCCAGGACCAGAGAAGCTGTCGAATCAGAGCTGCTCTTCAGGAAGATTCACTTGGCAGCAGAAACATGGGCTGCCTGGGTGTGATGAGACTCAAGAAAACCAGGTTGGAGGAAGATACAGAAGGGTAAGTAGGAGCCGGACGTGATGACACATGCCTGGAATCCCAGCTATTTGGGTGGCTGAGGCAGGAGGATCACAAGTTTGAGGCCAGCCTGGGCAAGACCTTATCTCAAAATAAAAAAAAGCTGGGGATGTAGCTCAGTGGTAGAGCGTTTGCTTAGACTCTAGGTTCAGTCCCTAGTACCGCAAAAGGAAATAGAGTTCTAGGAGAGGGCATGGAACCACCTTCAACCCCATCCCTGGCTTGTGAAGGACTCATCAGCTTTCCCTTCCAAAGTGCTCCCCCATATCCACAGTTACAGTCGTGTGCTCCTCTGGCTTCTTTATTTACCTCTTCTGTGGCACTTGACACTCCTGTAAGTCCCTCGCCCTGGGGTCCACCACAGTACCTGGCTTGGAGGATGTACCCATTGGCGCTCCTCAGCCAGTGCAGGTGACTGGGCTTCAGGTGGGTGTGAGCTCGGAGGGAGGAGGGCCCTGACCCTGTTAGAGGGAGGGACAGACCCGCACCTGCCCGACCCTGTCCACAGGCCGGAGGAAGTGCGGCTCTAGTGCGCAAGTGAATAGCTGTTTGAGCTGTCTTCCAAGTGCTGCTGGATTTGACAAGGAGTGTGAGGTTTGATAGGTCTCCTGGAGTCGGGTGGGTTGGGAGAAGGGACGAGGCATTGAATAGCAGGGAGACAGGAGTCCGAGGACCTGGCTTTGCAGACAAGTTGACAGGCTATTGTTGCTGCGGCAGATTGGCCAAAAGCTGAACAGAGTAGACCACACCATTTGTGTGCAGAGGGTGTGCGCTCCAGCTAGCGAAGGCTGGTGTGGTGTGTATTTGGCTTTTATCTCAGCGTTGTAGCAGAGAGTTGCTGTGGAGATTGGTGCCGGGTGCACAGTACAAGGTTATCTACAAAGCCCTTGGTGGAGGTCCCTGTTGACTAGGTGATCACTGATGCGAAGAGCTCGCTCAGACAAGAGTTCTCTTCCAGTTATTTCCTTCCGCAGCGAGTAGCACTTAAGGAAAACCAGCCTTTTCCCAAAGGAAGGGGAAAGTTCTGTGTAGAATCCCTTCATGGGGAGGAATGGAAGTAGAAAAGTGGTCAGGGTTTCATTTGCTCTAGGTTTCCTTGCTGTTTCAACGGGAAGCTTTTAAAGTCCTCATGGAATTGTGAGGCACCTTGTTTGTGGACAGTGAGTGTTTGAATAGCATTTCACATGCTGCTGTGGCAAGTGTTATGTTTAAGTCAAACCTTTCGTCATTTCCAGTGTGTGGCACAGTGTGGCAGTGTGAGGCTGTGCTCGCGTGGGGATGGAGGAGGGACATGCTAAGTGCTGACTAATGTTCGCCCCAGACAGCAGTTCACAGACACAGCATAGTTCATGGAAATTTATTCATTTACCCAGACTTTATGGGGAATGTGAAACCTGTAAGCCCCTGTCTGTGTCCCGCCCTCCCTTCCCTGGGGATTGAACCGCAGCCCCAAGTTTTCTTTTTTTTTTTTTTGGTACCGGGGATCGAACTCGGGATCTTGTGCTTGTGAGGCAGGCGGCAAAACCACTGAGCTAAATCCCTGGCCCCCCAAGTTTTCACCTTCAGGGTCATGCAGGTGTGCAGAAGCTGGTGGAGCTTATACACCCAGGGGGGCAGAGACCTAGCAACCCTCTGCGGGGTGGACGAGGCTTGCAGGGAGTGATTCCTGGAGGGCACAGTGACTCAGAAGCTGTGAATCGGAGGCTGAGGTAGAGTAGCCCAGGCGAAGAGGGGGCAGGCTTGGGGCCTGGGCTGGGTGGCAGCAGAGGAAAGTGTGGGGAGTGGGCGGTCCTGCAAGGACTGCTCCAGGGCAGAGAGGGAGACAGAGAGGCCAGCAGGGACCAGATGGCTTCAGAGGCTGAGTGGTCAGGAGCTTGGGCTCTGTCCTCCAGCCAGGGAGCTGTGGGGGATTTAGTAAACCCACAGTGCTGGGCTGTGGTTGGTCACACTTGATGTTTATGTAAATGATCCTGGCAGCCACAGGTGTGGGTTTGAGGGGGTAAGACTAGAAAGCAGGAGGTCACTTAGGAGTGGAGAGATAATTGATAAAACTGAATTTTGGGCAGCCCAAATAGTGGACTTGGAGGACAGAGCAGAGCCTGCTGAGTCTTGCTTTGCCTAGTTCAAATAATACTACACATGGTCATATGGTGTGTCAGTCAGTGGCACATTTTAAAAGGAAAAACTAGCAGAGTCAGTAACATCATCAAGAAATACATGACAGAAAAAGAGGAGGCAAAAGTTATGAAAATGTACAAACATTGGAGAGCCAACTATTAAACATGGTAAAGATGAGATTTTTTGTTGCTGTTTTTGAGACACAGTCTCACTGTGTAGCCCAGGGTAGCTTCAGACTCACAGCAATCCTTCTGCCTCAGCCTCCTGGGTGCGAGGGTTACAGACATGCACCACCACATTTGGCTAAAGGTGAGATTTTGATTACTAGAATGGAATACTTTAGGGCAAGTATTAAAGCTTCTAAATCCCAGTTTCCTCATTGTTCACACGACACTGTTAATAATATCATCCCACATAGCTCAGGGTGCTGCATGCCTTTAATTATTGCTGTTTGGGAGGCTGTTGGGAGCATATTGAGTTCAAGGCCAGTCTGGACGACATACAAGACCCCATCTCTTACAAACAACAAACAAAACATCTATTGAATTATTCAGGGATGAATAAAATAATGTGTATAAACTGTTTAACGCTGCCTGGCAATAAGAACCACCCTGTGAATGGAAGCTGTTTCTGGTGTGGGGCCATTTGATTTGGGCTCTAATTTTGTGAATGTTGATTGTGATTAATTAACAAGGGTTCTATGGCAGATAAGTTCAGGAAACCAGTGAGTTGAAGAGGTGTGTGTTTTGTTTTCCTTCTTGCCTGCTCACTTAGTTTCTTCCTCACATCTGGAGTGTGTGGTGAAGCGCTAGAGGGGCTTACCTGTGTACAAGGTATCCTCAGATCTAACAGGGAGTGGGGTGCTTGGTGGGACACCCGAGGAGACTTGGTTTCTGGCGCCTCCTTTGGCAGAGGCTTATTTGGGGGGTGAGTGTTTCCATGGCCCAATGGCTGTCTTAGTTCATGGCATTTAAGAAAATGGGGAATTATTTTGTATTTTTTACTTCTGATCCCAACTGATAAGCCTCTAGTATTTTTTCACATTTTATAGAAAAATTAGAAAATACAGAAAAATATATATACAGTACTACCACCACCACTCAGAGATAAACATTGTTGAAACATTTTGTTTTCTGTCTCCCCATTGGGATGATTATGTAGCAGTTTGCTTGTTTATTTTATTTATTTATTTGTTTGTTTGTTTGTTTGTTTGTTTGTACCGGGGATCGAACTCAGGACCTTGCGCTTGTGAGGCAGGCGGCAGAACCACTGAGCTAAATCCCTGGCCCTGCTTGTCTATTTTTAACCTAAAGTTATATTTTGTGCATTTGCTTACCTTTTTATTAGAATATTGTTACAAGGCATGGTGTTTTGTTTTGGTTTTTTTTTTAGTTTTGTTGCATGAGTTACACCTCAGCCCTTTTATATTTTATTTTGAGACAGGGTCTTGCTAAATTGCCCGGGGTTGCCACTAACTTGTGATCCACCCACTTAGCCTAGTAAGTGGCTGGGGTTACAAGTGTCCACCACAACACCTGGCTCACAAGGAATAGTTTTTAATGGCTCTGTGATATTTTATCCTGTGGCTATGTCATAATTTATGTGTTGGATACTTTACCTCCATTTTTGTTATCATAAATTATAATTAACATGTTTGAAATATGTTAAAATGATCAATATTTAACTTTTTTGTTGTTGTTCTTTGGTACCAGGGATCAAACTCGGGTCCTTCCCCTTGCAAGGCAGGCGGCGGAACCATTGAGCTAAATCCCTGGCCCCTAAAAATGAGTTTCTAAGTTTTACTGTAGTTTGGATCTTGAAGTCTCCCCAAAACCCACGTGATAAAGGTGGTCAGCAGGGCAGCACAGCGGTCAACAGCTGATTCTCTACATCAGATAAAAGTCCATAGTCTTGCTGTGAAATGTAAACAAAAGAATCTAGAGGAATTGATTTTCTTTTGATTAATTCCTTTCTCTACTCAGACTGAAAAAAAAAAATCCCATTATGAGAAGAGCATTTTCTCCACTGAAGTGATCAGTAATTGAGGCCATATGAGAATTAAGTTTATTAAACTGAATTCTGAGTCAGGTTTCAGGAAATTCATAACATGTAAGAGCAAAATTATCAAAAGATATTGTTTAAGCATAAATGTGCTGTCCACTTGGATAAGTGTTTTTCTACAGTCTGAAAAATGCTCATAAATGAATTAATTTCCCCCTGAAGGACTGGGAATTGAACCCAGGGCCTTTGCTCTGGGCTACATTCCTAGCCCTTTTTTTATTTTAAGACGGTCTCACTCAATTGCCCTGGCTGGACTTGTACTTGCTGTTCTCTTACCTGCTGGTCATACGTGAATTTATTGAAATTGTGATTAAGAGGAAAGAGACCAGGAAGAAACACGAAGCTGTCACTGAACATTGAATGCTTTGGTTGTTGGTCCTGGCCAGAAACTGCTAATGAGAAATCAGGGCGGGTGGGCCCACCTGTTCTCCCAGCTGGGCAGGAGGCATTCCGGGGTTTCTCCACTACCAGGAAAAGAAAGACTGCCCTGGTGCGGGGGGGTGGTCCCCCACCTCCACTGTGGTGAGGTGTCCAGGCCTTTCTGCTCCCACACCCGAGTGCCACAGTACTGAGGGCAAAGGGTGTCAGAGCTCAGACTGCTTCCACCTGGTTTTATGTTTGGTAATCATGGGAATTTAGTATATACCTGGCAGCTGGTGAACGAGGAGTGAAAAAAAAGCTGTTTGTGCTAAAACTCGAAGCGGAGTGCTGTAGAAAAAGTTAATATAGGTGAGTGGCTAGCAAGACTTGGGGTGAATCCAGTGTGGACTGGATGGGGGAAATTAAGACTCCACCGTCTGCTC